CAGAGAACCAGTCAAAAACCAGAAAGAGGAAGCAAAAAAACACACACGTCGAGACAAGCAACAGGGGCCGCGTCCTCGCCTTCGTTTCCACGTCTCGTCGGCGAGAACGCCCAGGCAGCGCGCGACTCGATCGAGCTCCGCGTCGGAATGCTCCTGCAGCTCGCTCGCCTCTCGTCTCAACTCCAAGCAATCCTGCCTCGCAAGCTGTCGCGGAAAGCGCTCGCTCAAGCTCGGCGACAAGAAGGAACCGACCAGCGCAAGGAGAATCGGGAGCGAAAACGAAGCGAGATCATCGGAGCATACCTGGACATTGTCCTTGAGCCGCCGGACCTTGGAGGCCAGCGCGTGCTGAGAGAGCGAGGAGGCGGAGATGGAGTACCGCCGGACGGGAGGAGCGTCCGGCCTCCGCTGATCGTCGGCGGCGTCGAACGAGGACGACGCCTCCCGCGGCTCGACGTTCGGCCTCTGCCGGTCGTCGTCGGCGTCGAACGAGGACGCCGCCTCCCGCGGCTCGAGGCCGCTCGCCTCCCGCTTCCACAGGTTGTTCCTCGGGTCCGACATTGCCACCGGTTCTTCTTCTTCTCAGAGCTCTTGCACTACTACTGATCACGAGAGCTTTTTCCTTCGCGGGAGGTGGCGGTACTGGTGCGGCCGAGGACGATGCGACGTCGTCTCCACTCCTCCTGCCTACGAATTTCATTATATACGAAAAATAAAAGTGAATATTAAAAGAAAAAAAGGGAAAAATTAAGGATTAATACCATGAAAAATTTCAAATTGGTACATGTGGCTCCAAAAACCCCACATTTGTGATAAATTTATCATCTGTTAATTTTCGTTAAATAGGATTAGTATCACGAACTGGTATACATATGACTAATGGAAGGTAAAATCTCAAATTGGTATACCCATCGACTGTCACGTGTTATCCAACTCAGCAATTTGACAGTAAAATGTATGGTTAATACTACGAAATAATCCAAACTGACAATTTTACACCATTCTAATTTTTTGACTACCAAAAAACCCAAACTGGTATACCTATAATAAATTTATAATAAACTAATTTTTTTACAACCAAAAATCCCAAACTGGTACATTTGTGACAAATTTACCCTCCGTTAAATTGGATTAATACTACAAAAAATTACAAACTTGTACACCTGTAAAACCCCAGACTGGTACACTCGTCGGTTGTCATATATCATCCAGTTCAAAAATTTGACAGTAAAATTGAACGGAAGGTAAAATTTTTACAGGTATATCAGTTTGGGGTTTTTCGTGGTCAAAAAATTAGTTTTTGGTAATTTTGTTATAAGTCTACCAGTTTGAGGTTTTTCGTGGTATTAATTCTAAAATTTAATGAAAATTAACGAAATATAAATTTATCATAAATGTATCAGTTTGAGATTTTTCGTGATGATTAGAGATGTTCTTTTGCCTTGGGGCTCCACTTTACTTCACGCCTCACTCTTGAAGCTTCCGTCGTTGTTACCTATTCTGCGCCCGACGCGATTAATCGAACTTGTTATTTGTTTTTTTCTTTTTGTTAGGGATAGAAAATGAATTTGATTTTTTTAAAGACAAAGGGCGCGGTATTTATTTTGTAGGGTTTTGACCTTTTTGACCTCGTGGGGTACGACGGGTTCTGTTCAAAGCCGTGGATTTAAAAAAAAACATTATTGAATGTTTGACCGGTTAATATTTATATTTTGATCTACTTAGACTTTGGACACTCAAAAAAAGACATTTTATTCGATGAATTTGTTTTATCCGCGGAACTATAACCGCAACCTCTCAAACGAACAAATTTTTTTGCCGTATTGATCCTTTATAATACAAAGGGCAACACGGTAAATTCATAAACAAGAACTTACTTGCAATTTTTGATAATTTCATCAAACCTAACTCTGTGTGTTCATCATTGATATTAATCTCAAATATATCATGTAAAGTATTTGGTGATAGGACAGGGAATCTCTTTACTTAAAGGCCGAGGGGTTCGCTCTAAGTCTTTGATAAAAAAAATATAATAAAATATATATATCGCGTAAGTCATTCAAAACCTTTTTTCTCTAAACATGATTTTTTATTGTAGACCTCCACCTCTTTTGTCACATCGAAATATTCTAATTTATTTTCACAATCAAATTCTTTATTTATTCATGCTTGCGTGCATAAGAATTCGAAAGGAAAAATTTCGATAGGGGAACCTCAACAATTTTTTCACCACGATTTCATCAGCACCTTACCCGAAGCCATAATCCACCCCATCTATCCTTCTTTCGTATTGAAGTCATTGTTAAGACCAGCATCCTCTCCAAGTGATGGCGATCCATCTGGACCACCGCCACTGACCTCCTTTTCTTCGGTCGCTTCGTGCCCCCGGATACTTACACTTGCAAAATGATCAAAGCCTTGTCTCCCTCGGTCTCGTAACTCTGATGACAATGAATTGAGGTTCGCGACAAGAGATCATCGTGTTTGTAGCAAATCATTTCAAGAGAGTTGAAAATCGTTGATCGCGTTATTGGTCATCATGCATTGAAGTATGTGCCCTTGTACTAAAGGGATCATCATCAAAGCTAGGATGCACAGACCTTTGCAGAGAAAAACCCTTCAAGGTAGGTGATCTTTGAAAGCTGCCCGATTTGATCCAACTGTGTAAAAGTAATTGTACAAGATATAATCACAATTATTAACACACTAACTTTTTTGCTTAACAAATTTTTCTTGTGAGAACTTAACCAATAGAAATGGTCTTTGTCAAAGAAATTGTTCGTCTTGTTTTTTCTGGAGGATAGCCTCTCAACAATGCTAGTTCTTTTCTCGGAGCCCTGGTTGGAGAGTAAATGGTATTTGAGAAATAGGAAGGACTGTACAAGCTTAGTTATCAGATTGGTTACTATCTTTAGACAATTTTATCACGACTTTTCAATGGTCGTAGGAAAGGTACACTATGTAGAGGTAATTAGTGCGCGAGCGGAGAACCAAAAGTATGTTAGCTTGCCTTTGCTTTTTATCTTTTCCTGTCTTTTCTCTTCTTCTTCCTTATACAATCCACACCGTATGCTTTTTGTAGCCAGCATTACTCTCTCACACACAAACAAATTGAAGGCCCCCAACCTTGCATACACACATTTAAGAAATCGATTCTCATGTAAATCTACAAAAAATGTGCTCAAGCATATATGTATCTGTCCAAACATATCTAAGCATGTGGTGTTAACCTAGGATAATGTTAACTTGTTTAATTAAAGGTTTCTGAGAATGTTAATTAATCAAATGTTATTCATCGTGAGTGTAACTTGTGGGCTGTTGATGCCCGTAAACCTGTGTTATTCACTCAGGTAAACAACCTTATTAGCAGCTTTCTTAGACAGATGCACATTGTAACCTCACGAAACAATATTAAGTTGAGCCAAAAGTCCAGTTGAACAAACATAAAGGGATGATATTTCAAATTTCAGCACCAGGCCATTGTACTCTAAATGCATGCAGTCAGAACTCCTGTAAATGCTAGGCTAAAATTCCGGTGTCCAAAAAGGAGCAGCAGACAACATCCAGGCTGATGTAAAAATCAGGCGTTATGCACACTTTTAGAAGAGCATCCTTGGGAGGGATAACTATGAATGACCTTCAAGCTAGGAGAACGATTTGGGTGCGACAAAATTATCCGAGCCATGTCATCCGCCTTGGACAATTTGGAATTGTTACTATTGATCTCTATTTTGTCCAGCCAAGGTACATTCTGGAGGAGAAACTCGAGCAGGGAAAGAACAGGTCCCCACGCTAGCCAATCAGCACCGGGATCAATAATCTCGACATTCTTGAGATGCATCAGACACTGGTAGATCATCCGGTTTGCAGAAATCCAAAATTCTTTTGCATCCAAGTTGCGAAGTTCAACATTCTCCGCAATGAACTTAGTCTGCAGATATAGAACATCATGACAAACGATGAGCAATAAAATTGGAATAGACAAATATCCAGGCTTGACGGGATAAAATAGCAGTTGCTACATTAAGAGAAAGATAAATCGACGGAGAATCCCGAATGTCAACTAAAATGACAGAGGTGCAAAGACGATTGTCAATCACGAGAAGAAAAAAAATGACAGGTTTATACGCAACCTAGGGATGAAATTCACAAACTATGTATGTTCATGCAAATCTGCTGTTAAAAGTGAACTAGGAGGGTTCTAACAGTTGGTTACCGCAGAACTGCGTGTGCAAGTCATTTGTATGAGTAACTTCTCTAAGCTTGGTGAACTTTCGAGTATTTTCACTATACTGGGAACTCCCTCATGGTCCTCTGCGACGTGGAATGTCAGATGACGACATTCTAAGGATGGAAGAAACACTCTCGCCTCCGTTAATGACAGCACCTGCACATCAGTTGTGGGGGAAGAAGCAGAAACCAATCACTTTTTCAGGCAATAAAGAAGACCATTCCTAAGACATGCGTACAGTTCCAAGGATCTCTATAGACCAAACAAATGAGCAAACAAATAGCAAATGCTTGTCAAGAAAATTCTTTTATGGCACATCAGATTTTAATCTTATCAAAATTTGAATGTATTGCTGGATCCACAAGGGCGATAAGATGTGTATAAGTCCTATTACAAAAAAGGAAAATGCCTCATCCAGCAAAAGTTTCACTGAATCTCTATAAAATGATAATGTTTCATTGAATTAACAATTTATGAGCATGGCATCTTCAAGCCACCAAACAAACAATAATACAATCTAACCCTAAGCAAATGGCATAGTGTGTATTGTCTGTCTGCAACTTCAATCTGACAGGGTACAAAATTTAAAAATTAATCAAATAGGGTCACACCTGAAGGCACCAGCTCCTTATCATCAATCTCGTGACGTGATGCAGCCTCTCGAGAAGCACCTTGACAAGATCGGCACGAGCCTTAGCATTATTGCGTCCATAAATCTTCATGCTGAAATTCAACTCAGCCTCAACCAAAGAAGTCACTCGATCTAGTCTGAACTCTATGCTTGTATTTTTGCCCAATAGGCGCAACTTGAGAAGATGAGGCGCCCTAATATTCAAGATCGAACCATCCCTAGGGCGAAAAGTTGGAGAGTCGATAACCAACTCTCTTAAACCTCTAGATTCAACACTGATCAGCTTCGAGCCTTGGCACCCTTTCAGCTCAAGAAATTCTAAAACAGGGCAGCCTCTCAAAAGTCTCTTCGACGCAGGATTGATCAACCGTGCATATCCAATGCACAGTGTCTTCAGCGAAGACCAATTCACGGCATCCATAAGCCAAAGATTACATCCAGACAATTGCAAACTCAGAGAAGTGTTTCTTCCATCCTTAGAATGTCGGCATCTGATATTACTTGGTGCAGCAAACCATGAGGGAGTTCCCGTCGTAGCGAAAATTATCGAAAGTACACTGCGCTTGGAGAAGTTATTCTTACAAATAACTTGCACACCCAATTCCGCGGTACATTACTTCTAGAACTCTCTCAGTTCACTTGGTTCATTTGACACCAGATTCGCTTGAACATATATAGATTGTCAATTTTAGCTCGAGGCCGCATATAAACCTGTCATTTCTTTTCTTCTCGTGATTGAAAATCATCTTCGTACCTCTGTCCTTTTAATTGACATTTTGGATTCTCAATTGATTTATATTTCTCTTATTGTAGTAAATGCTATTTTATACTGTCAAACCTCGATATTTATCTCATCTAGTTCCAAATGGGTATCTCTTCCTTAGTCATGATGTTCTATATCTGCAGACTGAGTCCAATGCGGAGAGTGTACGCTGTCACGACTTTGATGGAGAAGAATTTTGGAATTCTGCAAAGTGGAAGATCTACCAGTGTTTGATGCATCTCAAGCATGTCCAGATTGTTGATCGCGGTGCCAATTCGGTGGCATGGGAACCTGTTCTTTCCCTGCTCAAGTTTCTCCTCCAGAATGCACTCTGGCTGGACAAAATAGTGATCGATAGTACTAATTCCGAATCGTCCCGAGCAGTTGATCCATGGGGGCTGCTTGAAGTGGCCCGGATTCTTCTGTCGCACCCAAAGCGTTCTCTAAACGCGACGGTCATTCTTAGGTATCTTTCCCAAGGATGTCCGTCTAAACGTGTGCGTAAATCCTGAATATTTCATCAAAACCGGCTACGGCTTTTCCTCCGTTTTGTACACGTACATTTGCAGGAGATGTGATTGAATGCAACGCTGGGGCAGAAATTTGAAATAAAACTTCCCTTTTCCGTTTGTTCAACTGGATGCTTTTAGCTCAGCTTAATATTGTTTCGTGAAGTTGCAGTGTGTGTCTGTCTCATAAAGCAGCTAATAAGGTTGTTTACCTAAGTGAATAACACAGGTTCACAAGCACTCGCTCGTCTGACACAAACAGCGCATCATCCTTTCACAAGCACTCGCAGAAGTTTCACATAGCGCATCATCTATTGAAATACAGTCTCTCTGTGTGAACTCAACTAGAGGAATGCACAATCTCACTCAAATATTCGTGGACGTACTAGAGTTGGAATCATGGATGTAGGATTTATCTGTCATAGTTTGTTGGTAAAAGGTTGCAAGAAGTTACCAACTTCTATTTGATTATTTCCGAATTTTTGACTTTTGTAGTAATTTACCAAAATTTATTTAGATAATTTGCAGTTTTAGAGTTATATCTCCACTATCATATCAAATTACCAATTTTAAATTTGAAAGACTTCCCAACCATCTCTATTGAGTTACTATAGAATTTGAAGATACCAAATCTTACGGACTTATCAATATTTTTGCGATTGTTTTCAAATATTAACTTTTAATATCGTAGCTTGCTATGTTTTGAAGCTATGAACTCTTACATCAAATTATTAACCATAATTTCAGTGACTTACAAACTTAACCCTAATTTGAGTGACGTAAAAACTTCTTTTTTTGATTGATTTCCATTTATATTTGAGTAACTTATCAATATTTATTTGATTATTTGATTGTTCTGACGAAAAAACATTATTTTATTGTATTCAAATTTCAAACATTCATTTGCATAACTAATTAACAACAATTTAGAGGTACGGACTCTCTCAAACTACTAACTCTGATATCAAATTAATGACCTTAATTTCAGTAGTTAACCAACTTTTATGAGATTACTTTACCATTACTTTATATTACCAACTTTTTCTTCGTAACCTTCATTTGATTTTTTCCAAATTACCAATTTTTATTTCCAATAAATACCAACATTTTAAAGCTAATGTTTTTATTGGTATACCGATCTTAATTTAAGTGAGTTGCCAAGTTCTTTTCAATAAATTACCAACTAGTTTAAGGTTATTAACTTTTACACGTGTGACTTGTCTAACTTTATTTGATTGTTTAAAAAATAAAGAAGTACTTATTTGATCGTTTCCAAATTATTTCATAATAACTAACTATCTATTTACGTAACTTACTAATGTTCTAAATTCAACAACTCTTATATCAAATTGCCAACCTTAATTTGAGAAGCGTACTAGCTTTTCTTTGATTAATTACTACTAAATTTAGGTTGTCAATTCTTGTTTGAGTAACCTATCAATATTTATTATAATGTTCTGAAATATAATACAACGAAAAAAAAAGTATATGATTTCGCCTCTTGTATTAACTTACCAATTTTTATTTGCGTAAATAAAAATGAGTCCTAGCTTGCGGTATCTATGAACCTAAAATTTCCTAGGAAGAGATAGATGTACATGATCATCTCAATCTTTTGTAAATAGATCGTTTTATTTAGGGGAAAGCTATAGAGATTATTGTACGAAGGAGTTGGTTTTCCGGTGTGAACCAACACCATCATAGATATTGATCATATAGGTTCTTGTGGGGGCATCCTATGATGGTGCTGGTTTAGATAGACTGAGTCTGTAATATTTGTCATGGATAAGTTGCAAAGGCACGATAACTTCCAATCGGAGCATTCACCGGGAACCAAGGCGCCTATGCTTTTGACACTTGCTAAAAGGAGTCTCACATCAATGTAACTAACTTGGGGCATGATCCCACATGTTAACGGCCATGCGCGAATAATCAATCGTCTGTAGTTTAGAGGCCGCCACACGCCATTCACATAAGAAACTCCAGCTTTACCCAAGAAAAAGGGAAAGTTGGACTCGTCCTTGTAGGACAAGTAAACCATCTTCACAACCTAACGAACAAATACAGTGGTCTTCTCATCTGGTTACGTTGATTCGTCCACATGATTGAACCATACAAAACTCGAAATGTAATGGAAAACTATGAATTTCAAAGGAAAAATTGCTAATGAAAGTCAGAGAAGCTCAATCCAAACAAAATCCCAAACTCGAAAAACTCAAAATGAAGCAAGGTCAAAGCATTTGTTAAACCCAACTTCTTCGCACACCGCCAAAAGTGGCACAAAAAGAGAAGCAATCTTATTTACAAATCAAAGCTACCTGGGTCATGCAATCTAGGGGAGTGCTGTGTACCTGCGATCTGCTTATGCTTCATAACTCACGTGGGAGTCCATTCAAACGATACTTGACTATAACTTCAGCATTTCGAGAAGCTCTCCGACAGCCTTCTTGCAGCTGAATCACATCATGAAAATCGCCAAGATCATGAGGGTCAATGGGTACTCCTCCACGCGACATCCTTAATTCAAGGACAATTATCATCTTCTCCAATCCAACTGCCTCCTCGAGAAGAAACTTAGCCAGGACAAGCAAAATTTTTGATTTCTCATTGTCAAGTTCGAACCCGACAATTTCAATCCTTTGAAGATGATTTGAAACACAACAGAACTCCTTCGGTAAGTGCCAAAATTGCATTTCATCAAAGTCCAAGAGCTCCGAAAAATCCTTGATCTTGAACCGAAAACACAGAATTAGTAGAAGCGATAACAAAGCACTGGCATTAAGTAGCGAAAAAAATGTAAAACAAACAAGCTTGTCTGATCTGGTATAACAGATTTGTAAGTTCTCACGGACCCAAATGAATCAATGATCACATCCTTTCCTACAGAACAATCAACTTTTTTTCATGCAGCTCCTATGCATCCCAGCTTTTCACACACAAATTCGTTTATGTTAGGTATATGCAAACGTGTGTAAAACATTAATGGCAACAAGGAGACTCGATTGTACTTCAATAGCTTCATGGTAAAAGCCTGAAAGTAGATGATATGAGGCTGACTGCGAAAGCATACATGTAACTGTGTCCAGAACCAAAGATAGATTAATACCGTGATATTATCAGATTCTGGATTGCATGTGACTAGCCTTTCTAGGAGTGGAGAACTCTGCAGCAAGTACACAATCCCTAGAAGGTCGCTTTTACAAAGTGTAGTGTACACTTTGATATTACGCCATCTCGATGATGGGTACAGCGTTCCCTTTACCTCCGCAGCAGATAGAATCTGCAAAAAACTTGATTTGTGAACCAAGTGGCAGAACACGATATGACCATTATTTTACTTTCTATATTTAACAAGAATAAATGCGTTCATACGAAAAGACCGCTCATTTATTATGACTTAGCTGTTGAGGTCCACATATGTCTGATATAACATTCATATCTTTCCATATATGAGGAATCACCTCACTCACTGCTTGATCAACTACGGCTTTAGCATCATTTGATGCTCATGGAACAAAACGTAACATCGAAAGGCTGAATAAGGTCCAACCATTCAACTTACTGAGTTAAAAGATCAAACATACGATTTACCATCAAGCATAAGCTTTTACATACATGCATGTCCTAAGCAAATGGCTTAGTGTGTATTGTCTGTCTGCAACTTCAATCTAACAGGGCACAAAATTTAAAAATTAATCAAATAGGGTCGTACCTGAAGGCACCAGCTCCCTATCATCAATCTCGTGACATGACGCAGCCTCTCGAGAAGCACCTTGACAAGATCGGCACGAGCCTTAGCATTATTGCGTCCAGAAATCTTCATGCCGAAATTCAACTCAGCCTCAACCAAACAAGTCACTCGGTCTAGTCTGAACTCTATGCTTGTATTATTGCCCAATAGGCGCAACTTGAGAAGATGAGGCGCCCTAATATTCAAGATCAAACCATCCCAAGGGCGAAAAGTGGGAGAGTCAATAACCAGCTCTCTTAAACCTCTAGATTCAACACTATCAGCTTCGAGCCTTTGCACCCTTTCAGCTCAAGAAATTCTAAAACAGGGCAGCCTCTCAAAAGTCTCTTCAACACAGGATTGATCAACTAGGCATATCCAATGCACAGTGTCTTCAGCGAAGACCAATTCACAGCATCCATAAGCCAAAGATTGCATCCACACAATTACAAACTCACTAGCGTAGTGAGTTGGAAGAAGTACGGCGGCAACACATAAGCCTCCAACCACTGGCAATGCAGGTTCAATGATAACTCTTGAACATGCCCCCTCACAAACTCGAGACATGTCTCAACAATTGAATCCAAGCAGGGGTGATGAGCAACATCAAAGACAAACCTCTTCACCTCAGTTGCGATGCAGCGTGATAGCACCGATTCGACGAAACGGGTGAAGTTGTGCAACTGCGGAACACGGTCCTCGGGTAAACAGAGAGTGATATGTGGACTAGAGGTTCACGTGTGATATGAATCTGTGCGGAAGATGATCATTCTACGAAGATCTATGAGTTACGAATTACTGACCTCGACCCCCAATCGAACTTGTGATTGGTAATCTCGGTATGAATGCGACCTGTTGACGAACCTGTGTCAACCAATCCACACTATAACGCCACGAACAAGAAAATTCGCGATCTTGCTCAATAAGTTGAATTCGATCACCACAAGGGAGCCTTGATAAGATCTAGTTCTCAAGAGAACTCAAGAAGAAAACTTCTCCATATAAAATTCTGCCTCCTCCCCTTAGAAATCTATAAGCAACTTTATATAGGGTGCTAACCCTAATCCTAACCCTACTAGGATTAAAATTACAAAAATAACCTTAATTACTAAAAATTCGTCCAAAAATAGAAAAAAGGCCTAAAAGCTCATATGAACTACTCCAATTCGCTAAAAAAACGTCATCAATCACTACTAAAGTAGAGAGTATTGATCAGCAGCCCATTTCCAAGCGTCCATCCAAATTTGAGCCAATTCGGAGTTCGTCAATTCTAAGCTCCTTCGGAATTCGCTGGACCAAGAGTAATCATGTTGCACCAAGGAGCTTCAAAATCTTCAAGTCTCGAATCCAGATTGTCTCTATTCCAAATATCTTGAACCATGATGTCGACAGCTTGT